GTCATCATCAGGAATGTTCAATATTTCGACATTAATTATGTCATCATCAGGAATGATGATTCCTGATGATGACATAATTAATGTCGAAATATAGAATCCCAACACGATGGCGTGTATTTCAATACTTGGAGTATGTATTATACTTTCTTATAATGACTGATGTGTTGCATAGAGGAATGGATTTGTGAGTTTATGACAAAATGATAAAAAAAAAAATAACAAAAAAGTTGTCAGTTTATTTTTAGAGGTGATTTTCTCCCAAGTCAGTGTTTTCAGAAGTCTGAATTATAAAGTGATCATACTCTGTTTCTATTTAGCCTAGGAACATCCAAAATCTTTAATAAAGCTTTAATACAAATGAAATCCATTTGAATCGCAATTATAAATTTTTCGTGTTTGGTTCTACAAGACTCATTTTGTGACAGCACCTCGCATATTGGCATGATTATGACATATCACACCCACTGGGCATATCACAGGTATTATTGTCACACAATAGTTTGGACAAAAATATTTAATGGAATTATGAATATTTTTTTTTAGGCTGTGTATATCACAACACCATCCCCAAGCATTGCTGAAGACATGGCGGACTTAATTGATGGATATTGTCGACTCTTCTCCCAAAATGAAGAATCTGTTGTGAAACCTCAAGGTAGGTTATTTTTTTTTTTTTTTATTAAAGTCTATATTAAATTAGGTACGATGTATGTTCTTCATAATTGTGTTCTGAAAATGAAACTTAATTTGCTTTAGATAGAAATGTAATCTGTTTAAGTTTCTATAAGAAATATCTCAAAATGATAAGAACAGAAAAAAAAATATTACAAGGAAACATAGAACAATGCCAAGGAAAAAAATATAAAAATATAAAAAAAAGTAATGGTAAAGTCAAATTTTAATTTTGATATTATTATTGTAGTGCCTAATAGAGTGACTAGTTGTATAGGAAATTTAAAGCTGTAATTTTAGAGTGTTTCTGAATGGCCATTAAAACAAATCATTGGTTAACATTTCTAAGAGACAGGCCTAGGAACATCCAAAATCTTTAATAAAGCTTTAATACAAATGAAATCCATTTGAATCGCAATTATAAATTTTTCGTGTTTGGTTCTACAAGACTCATTTTGTGACAGCACCTCGCATATTGGCATGATTATGACATATCACACCCACTGGGCATATCACGGGTATTATTGTCACACAATAGTTTGGACAAAAATATTTAATGGAATTATGAATATTTTTTTTTAGGCTGTGTATATTACAACACCATCCCCAAGCATTGCTGAAGACATGGCGGACTTAATTGATGGATATTGTCGACTCTTCTCCCAAAATGAAGAATCTGTTGTGAAACCTCAAGGTAGGTTATTTTTTTATTTTTTTATTAAAGTCTATATTAAATTAGGTACGATGTATGTTCTTCATAATTGTGTTCTGAAAATGAAACTTAATTTGCTTTAGATAGAAATGTAATCTGTTTAAGTTTCTATAAGAAATATCTCAAAATGATAAGAACAGAAAAAAAAATATTACAAGGAAACATAGAACAATGCCAAGGAAAAAAATATAAAAATATAAAAAAAAGTAATGGTAAAGTCAAATTTTAATTTTGATATTATTATTGTAGTGCCTAATAGAGTGACTAGTTGTATAGGAAATTTAAAGCTGTAATTTTAGAGTGTTTCTGAATGGCCATTAAAACAAATCATTGGTTAACATTTCTATAAAATTGTATTCACTAGGGTTTAAGATGAATAATACTGTACTGTATTTGAAGATTATTCATGTCACTTATATTGTGATGACATATCACCTATTTATGATGAGATTCTATCAAGTATTAATATTAAGTTAAGAATGTTTTGCAAGATTTATGTGATTGGATGACCTTTGTAATCCTGATTGACCTCTGTAAATAGTAACCTCTGTGCAGGAATGAGTCCTGTAGGAAGTCATTCCTAGTGGATTAGCATGTAAGTGGGAGGTATGTTATGATAAGTGGGTTGCAATGAAACTCCATCATATTATTGGAGTTTTCCTTTGCATTAAAATTGAATACCCTAAAATATGGCTATTTCCCCATAGGATTTGACCTTATTATTAAAAGATTATTGACCATCTCCAGAAAAGTGTTAACATAAGTAGGGTGTCCAGAAGGAGTAGTTGTATTATAAATTATTCCAAATTGTATTAATTGAATGATTGCAAATAAGTAAGTTGCGGTGCATTTAGTAAGCTGCTAACATATTGACCCATAAAAGTTTGCTTGTATCTCCGTGTTGCATGGTCTAATGAATTAACACACATTCCTCAGTGCGTGTTTTAGCAAGTGAAATAAAATGTGTGTGTGTGTTGCATGTTTGTCAATATAAAATCTTATTGAATATTAACTCTCCTGCACACTTGAAGTGAATTCAGCTATGATGTTTGCATTTGAGGCTGTGATAGATTATGTGTGGTGGGTCCAAGTGTATTCACTACAGTTGGAGACTGGGTATTATTAAAGAAAGTATAAAAACATATTATAGGTACATGAATTATTGGACAGCCATTCAGAGTATTTCATAAAAGTTTGAAAAGCTGCCTTGCTCAAATCAGCATTCTTCTCCTATGTGATATTTTGTGTATTTAATTTGACATTATGAGTAACAAGGGATGATAGTATTACATATTTATGTGAAGTGTACTCCAAAAAGAATAAAATAACTAAGCAATTTTAATTCAGTAATTCGTGTTTAGAATGAAAATTGTTGGTATAGTCTTTCTGGTGTTTGCTTAATACATGTTTTTATATCTTAATAAGTTATTATATAATTAAAAAGTAGTGAATATCATTGAATAAATGGTAAGCATTAATTAAGACTATTGTACATTTAAATGCAAAAATTTAAACACTGAACTATCTACTCTGTCATTATATTAATGTTCCAAATTGTAAGGAAAAGGTGAGTGTTATGTGATGAAGATGAATGAGAGACTTTATATACCATTAGTATGTTTGTGCATGAGCTATATAACAAGTGTGTTAGAAACTGATGATTATCTATTGGCTTAGTCCCACTTGCACCTATCAGGAGGAAGTCTTCAACTTCTAACTGCAGCAGGCATGCTAGTAAGTACAACAAATGCTCTTCTTTGTTCAACTGACACCCGTACTTATACCTTTCTCATTGCATGTTCCAGTTTGTATTTGCAGTTCATACACATTGTAGCTTTATTGATTGATTTCTTGCTGTGATTATTCCTAATAATTTATTGTTGCTTTTTGATTGAATAATAAACTCATCTACTAATCTTGACAAATTAATATTTTTGGTAGTTTTTCATTATTTTTTGCTTCATTTTATATATTTATTTTACAGTCTGTTCATACATGAGGTGTTTTTTTCAAACATTACATAAGTTAAAGAAAAACTTTTTTTTTCTCCTAAGTTTGAAAGATTGATAATTTGTAATGGAGTTATAGTTTACCATAGATGTCCTACCTACATTGTTTTTATAATTTGTAATTAATTTAATCAAACAACATATTTATTCAAATAGTTTGGTTCTGTTTCTGGTCCTATAATTTTTTTCATCCAACTGTCTTGACCAAATATGTTTTTTTGAAACTATGACTGCTCATTATTATACAGTAGTATGATGGTTATTAGTAAACATGCCCCATTCATGAAATTGGTGCTTATATGTTATCTGGTTGGCATATATCTTTGTGTATCTTTGTATGGGATGAGGGTTATGTACGTATATAGTATGTACTATGTCAATATATTACTGTATTTATGTGTGTCTACAGTAGGATTTTGTATATTTGTGGGTATGGGATTTTGTATATATGTGTATGTGTCTGGAGGTGTGTTTTGTATAACATGTGAAGGGTTTTGATATTTATTTGAAATACCTGAGTAATAATTTTTATTGGGATGCTTGTGAATATATTTATTTATTATAGGCACACACAAATACATAGCTAAGGTCTGTTTGCTGTATAGTATGTGCCCTGTGACAAAAAAATGTACTACTTTACCAGGAACCAGCTCTTTGAAATCAGAAGTCAGTTTCAACATTCAAATCAAAGAAAGGTTTAGGCCTACTCGTTGTTTTTTGTTTGTGTAAGATCACTTGTCTGCTCCTTTACAAGCCCCCTCAGATACTAGACACTAATCATTGTACTTCTGTCAATATTATGGTTGCTAAAATGGTGATTTCAGTCAACAGAAACAAAAATATAATAGTACCAGTTTTATAACACACATACAGTACGTGGCAAAGACAAGCCAAACCAGTCACTTGTCGCAAATCTGAAAATTCTGAGAAAATGGCCAAAACATGCTGGAATGTCAATTTTTTTTTTTATTGCACTAAACTAAACCTTTATCTACCTATAGATCATGCTATTTTGTTTTCAATGTTAAAACAACACATTGTAAGGATTTCATGATAGTTTCTGCATGAGAAATGCCCGAAATCATAAACTTTGATGGCTGATTTCTCATTACTGTTCTTTAAACAGTTGTATGTTTAAATGCTTGTAACTTCATAAGAAAATTTCGGATTGAATGATTTTTTTTTTACCATTTTATAGCTCTCATTTTACTTTTCAACTCTCTATCAATAACTCAAAATCAATTTTTGCAACAAGTGACTGGTTTGGCTTCTTTTTGAGACATATACAAGTTTTTTTTGCAATGTATTTTTGCACTGTAATTTCCTTTTGGACAAAATAAATAAATCTGAATCTGAAACACAATACACCTAAAGAGAGACCACAATCGAGGCCATTCATCGTTAGAGGGCGAGCTATACTACTGGCTGTATATAATTTAAATGCAATTGATTTAAGTACCTCGGCCACTGTGTGTGAAAGTTCATTACTCTGTGTTTCTTCAGGCCTGTGTGTTATTCTCATAGTCAGCTGAAGTTTTCTAAGAGAAGTGTGTAAGTGCCTATAGCCTAGTTGTTTTTATCAAGCATTCATCATGTTTCGGTGTATTTTGGGTGTTCAATTGTACAAATTATTCTTTGTTATTGAGTTTTACAGGAAATCCTAACATGTCATCGTCCAAGGTTATGTTGTCTTCCTTGTTGTTCCTTGGCCTTAAGATATATACCAGAGGACTTTTCTAGTAGATCCCACCAGGGGCTCTGGGCTTGAACTTTGCTGTGGTCCTTACCCATCTTCAGACCCCCAGCCATTAGCCTGCCCACATACAATTTAATTCCTTTGCTTATCACGTCAGTATAAAATGGTCTTGTGATGACCAATGAACAGTACATTCAAATGACCAAATTTAACTACCATGCCAATTCCGGTTTTTGTGTTATTAGTGTACTGCTTACACTATGAACAACCCTCCTGTAGGCCCCATCAAGAATTTTTTTTTGTTGTTTTTGACAGAAGAACTTCGAGCGAGAAATAGATTGCCAGTTGGCTGTTTTTTTGTCTTGTGGTAGGTGATTTTGGTGGGAAAGTGTTATAGGAGATTACATAAATAGAATCTCCCAGAATGTGAAAAAAAAGGCTAATATTTTTAGGGCCTCTGTCTGCTGGGCCCAACTAAGGGCTCTGGCTCAGTCCGTCACAATCAAACCGTGCTGCCGCCTATGCTTTTTTGGGATGTCCTGCTTAGTAATACAGTAGATACTTGATTTTTTTAAATTTTTGTTATCATAGATTAATAAATATTAATATGGAAATTATGGCCTTGTAGGAGAACACATGCCAAGTGATATAATTTCCATAATGTAGTTAATACTGTTCTCAGTGAAACTCATAATGATGCTATGAATGGACAGTACATTCTAAATGTGTTATAGATAACCATTGCCATATTATGTACCAATTCCTGATACTGTCGCCAAACAATTGTTGTCGAAAAAAGCAGAGTACGCACCTATGACAGAAATTCTTCTTGCCAAAATTAGGTAAGATGCTAAAATAAGTGACTGGATTATTTTTCTGAACCATGCTCAATATACAGTAGCCTTTATCTGCATATGGTTTCAGTATGTAGGTCCAAATTTTTCCAATAAGGTTCACTGTAAGTACGTTGTGCTTTTAATAGTGTCGTCCTAAAAGTGCAACTATGCAAACTTCCAATAAGCTTCTTAACTAATAATATTATGGTAATTTGTTTTTCAAAAAATAATTTCCTGTAATCATTTTAAACTTTACTTTTTTAAGAAAGGAAACCATGAAAATCACAGTATTGTCTTTTGAATTTAAGCGTGGGAAAGGAACCACTGATATGACAATGAACCTACGTGTAGAGGATGTAAGCATTGCAGGTGTCATTGCCTTTAATATAGCATTTAGAATATTACTCATTGTTAGTTGGTGGTACTGTGTTCATATATTTAAACACATCAACACATTCTTTCACATCGAGCTCTAGTCATATGAGTTTAATACCATTGTAATGTTTTGGTTGTTAAACTTTAATGCTTTTAGCAAAAGATCTGGTTATCTGTATGAGAATGATTACCTTATGTTTAGTAAGTAACACCTTCATGCACTTTTTTTTTTGTACAAATTATATAAATATTTAGTATTACTTATTTCAGTTTCAATACTATAATTTCAGTTTTCATATTGGTAAAAACTCAAGTTAGTCAATAAGCATTAGAAATCTTGATTTAGAAAGAGCATTAGAAAGTTTTGTTTGGGCCACCTATAAACACCCTTGTATAGTTGAAACATATTTTTCTGGCCTTTTATCAAGAATGATCTAGCGAATCTGCTTGTTATAAGCTCATCTAGTTTGTTAAACTACTATAATGCTCTACATCGGTAGCTGTGGTGTTGAAGGTTTCGGAAGATTGTGGCTTTTTTTGGTATGATAACATTTCAGGTAGGGCAAAACATCATTTTACTGATGAAACTCACATCGAAATAGAATTTGCAGTACACTAAGCGTAAGCTCGGTTGCCTAGTGGTTATGACACCAGGCTACTTATCTGGAGGTTGTGGGTTCGATTCCTACCCGAATCACTTGAACTTTTTTTCGCAAGTATTTAGGAACGTACTGAGTATTCGGTACTAACAGGTAGCAAATCATCCCTCCTAAGATTGTGACTTGTTGACTGCATAAGGTTTTAATATTTAGAAATTGTTTAAAAAAAATTAATATATCTGAAATTATTGTGCTAATATACCAACAGGTTTAAGATATGTGCGTGCAATATCTGATTACAGCTCTCCAAGTAAGTTAACTGCTACATCTTAAACTGTATTATTGACCTAAGTATTATAGTTATCATTTTACACCCTCACCTTCATTCCAAGTCTGTATAGTAGGGCCTCCGTCCAAATGCTTAAAGATGTATTGTCCCATGGGAAATACCAAAAAAAATCATAAAAATAATTTTTGAAATTAACTTGCTGATTTTGAAGTAACATAAAAATCATCAATTTGAAAGTTAGTGTTATTTGAAAAATGTTTACCCATAATTGTACAACAAATAACTATAGAAACACTTCTAATGCTGTATTTTTTTTTAATCAATATCCAGTATAAAAATCATTGTACACATTTCTTGAATTGAGTAGTTTCTATGCTCAAGTTAATAACTTGTATGTTAGGCCCCCATTGCAAAATGAGCAAGTGAATGTTAAATTATTTGTTATGATTATTTTTATTTCAAATTCAATACATCTTTAAGAGATCTAATTCTAGTAAAAAAATCTTAGTTTGATTGATTGAATATTTTAATTGACAGGACTATGCACACCTGAAGTTTTGCTGAGGCCCTGAGAACATCCCATTTCATGCAGTATCACATTTGGTTATTTCAATATCTGATAGTACTTCATAATTTGTTGCACTGTGATATAATTATCATGAAATGTCACAATACATCAGGAGGAGCCATAATGGAGAATTTTATTCTATGAAGTACACGGCAACTACTGATATATATATTTTGATAGTTCAGTGGCGGATCCAGATTTGTTTGCTGGTGCTGAACAAATGGATTCCAAGGCAAAGGTCCATAGAGGGTGGAAACTATGGTTGGGAGTGAAAGGATTTTGGGTGTTCTTTTATCCTAACGTGAAGGGAGCAGGGGAAACTTCCTGGAAACTTCAGAGTTTAGCCATTCAATTTTTTTTTCTGAATAATACATTTGGTTATTTTTTTGCTGCCTCCGGGGATTAATGTGCCTTTTGCCACTTCCTGGATCCGCCAATTTAGGTGATCCAGCACCACATTGGTTTGGCACAGTTTTATGTGTCGTCACAAAATGTCATGATGTCATGAAATTTCATACAATTAGTGACTTTGTGTTGCACAATGTAATGTAATGTAATGTCACTGGTGATTATTGTTGTATTATGAAATATATTTATCATGTTTTCCTGTAATTTTTTGTAGTAATTCATTTGTTATTACAATGTCAGACAGTTGGACAATTATAAATCTTTCATTGGTATTCATACCTCAATCATTTCAAATGATTGTTATATTATTATTACTTATACTGAATTAATAATACTGATTCAGGAATGATTTTCATTGTTTCATATGCTTTTGTTTGATATATTTAAACATTTCAACTATCCTTTCAACATGCAAATTGTTCATTTACAGTCTTTACTACCAGGCATTGCATTTATTTTCAAACAATTCTAATGAATTTATTTATATGCAAATCTTGATTACAGAACCAGACCCAGCAGAATCTTATTATGCAAACTTGCTGCCTACCGATATTGATGAATTTTAATAAAAAAATTTTACCAGTTATTTTGCACACCGCCAAAAAAAATATGTATTTTTTTTTTATGCCCTATGCTGCCTTCATGAAATTTCCCAAAAAAGATACCAATATTGCTTCCTTATGGATTTCATACACACTGTTTACATTGATCAACAAAATTGTATTTTCGTCTCCACCTAGATGCTTTTGGCAAAACTATTTTCCTTAATAAGAAAATCCCATCCAATTTCATTTGATGCTTTAAGACCCTACTGAGACTAGAAGGTGTGGCTACCACCAACAGTCAGCATACCAGTCAGCTTTGCTTATATTTGCGCCTGTATATTGTCTGAAAAAATGATTTTCATGTATAGTTTATCCTTTATATTTAACAATATTTTTCAGCCATTGTTTTCTGTTTCTTAATAATGCTTCGAGAGCCACTTTGATGGTGATTTATTATACTTTGCTTATCCCACAAGTTCATAAACAAATTTTTGTTTATTGATTTTATTTCCGTTAGCCAACACCCTAAAATGGCAACTAGAAATATTTATTAATAGGCAAACACAAAAATTATGAGGCTTAATATAAACAAGGATAGTTGTAAGCAGTACCACTTTCAGTTTGTGATTAATATATATTATCGTATATCAATCTAATATTTACAGTTTAATGGTGGTGTGTTATTTCTAAGGAAATGTGTAATGATGGCATTCACCACAAAACCTTGGAGGGGAACCATTACTCCAAGGGTGAAGACAATACACACCTTGTGGGTAAACAAAGTACACAGGAAAAAAACACACACAACCCATTAAATTATTTGGTATTGACTGGAAGTTACACAATCCATTATCAAAAAATATAATTAATCTTAGCATTCCAAGCAAAATATTTCAGTTTAACATGAAATAATTATAGTTTTACACATTACGAATATAAAAATTAAGACGAAATTACAGCATAAGAAAATTATTTTTTAAAATATGTTAGGTTAGGTTGAGTTTAAAAATTTACTTAATATATCAAAAATAATTTGGTACAGCCATTATATTTGGACTAGAAATACTATATTAATCAAATAGAAAATTGCAGCATGTGCGGTATTTAAAAAATTAAATAAATTTTACTATAATATAAAAATGAACTTAGGCCTCCCTCAATAATGACATAACAACATTGTTAATTTGACTATCAAGGGATAATGTCTTTTTTAATACATGTAAAATTGCATATTCAGGCTTCCATCTTATAAAATAGACTTTCTAGTGTTTTGATGGTCTCTAAATTATGTATCTGTATGTTTTTGATAGCATTGTAATTGAGTATTGTTTTTCCCTTATTGGTCATGTTCGGATAAAAAAAGTTTAGCTAATAAGTTTTGTTTAACTGAAAGGTTGACTGATGAATCTCAGATAAGACAGTATAATACATACTCCAAGTATCAAAATCCATATTTCGACATTAATTATGTCATCGTCAGGAATCATTTTGTATATTTGTCCAATACAGTTGAAAGACTAGCATAACTTAGTCAGGTAGGAGCAATTCTGGCTGGTAGAATTTAACCACTCATTGATGGAATTTAACTTTAAAAAAAAATTATGCTGTACAGTACATGTAAACAGTCGTAAAAAGCCATTGGTCTTGTGTTGTTTGCTGGTGCATTGATATTCAAATTAAAACGTGATTAAGATAATATGGATTGAAAACCACCCTCCTATATCAGCCCAAGAGAGCAGGCTTATACCAGAGGAAGTACGGCCTAATTGCCTAATGAAAAAAACTAATGTGAGCTCCAGAAAAATGTGTCCCAACATCAGAAAGTAAAGTGTGGGTGCACTAATGATGATTTTGTGAGATACAATTGAATCTGGTAGTGAGTGAGCTGCATCTGGCTAATATATCCATTGAACCTGCAGTTTCTCTATAATGCAAGTGACATATCAAATGCTTGGAATTTTTTTTCTCATCAATGAATCAAATGTTCCATCTGTGTTTCAGCAGCTTATTCACAAACATGCTAATTTTTCATTACTTATTTAAATACAGTGTAGACATATTCATTGTCATGGTAACCCTTTCAATAGTTCAATTTAAGTTATTATTTTTCATGTCTTTCTTCTTTCATAGTTTTCATTAAAGTATTTTTATTCTTAGTTTATGTTATTATAATACTGTCTCATTCTCAACTTGATGTCATAGTATGACAACAACTATTGAGGGAGGCTTAACGCTACATTGTAGTCAATAAAAGCATTACCAATTCAGGATGTTTGCATTTGATGTTAAGTTGTGAAATAGTCACTTTGTAGAAAAAATTTTTTTTTTAAGTTATCTGTATTGTTTATTGTTTTCCATAAAGTTTATCTAATTTTGTTCAAATTGAAACTTCTATTATTTTTATAATATAATTTTTTAGATTAAAGTATTATTGTGAGTACATTCTAATTTAGGTTTGATTATATTACAGAGGGTGACAGAGAGTTACCATCAATACCAGTAGACAGGTAAGTTAGACTTGCATACCTGGATTTAATTTTTTTTTTGTTGAAAAGTATTGTTTACAAGGATTGCTTATTGAATCAGGGTTATTCATGTAGAGCATAATACTTTAATAATGATTAACGTATCAGCCATTTCCTATTTGCAGATATATATACCACCAACTGAAACATTGGCATAACATAAATTTAAATATAGAGAATTATTTATTATTACTGATTGTAAATAATTAAATTAATGATGAGATAAGCTTTGAGTCAATAGTATAAATGATAATGATTATATTTTGTCCAATTTCATTTTGTTGCTAGATACACAAATGCTTAATTTTATTTATACACGATCGAATTGTTACCTTTGCTGATAAGCATTCTTTGTAGCAACAGTGTTCCTATTAAACTTCGGTCTGCACTTCAGGGTGTATCAAAGTGTTAATGAATACATGGAGCTTGCCAGGCCAATCCAGCATCAGTGACCAAAAAATGAAAATTGACGAATTTTTAACATATTTACTTTCTTAACATTGAAAATTTTAAAATGATGCGCCATTTGCTGGAATCAACGTACTATTGCCAAAGTTATGAGTAAATGTATTATGTCTTCTCTGTACTAAAGTATACAATACTGCCAAATTTTATGCTAATTTCTCAGTTTAACAATTAGGGACAGTATGCTGGTTTTGGGATGGCAAACCTCATATATGTAATGTGGCATGATTCCATTAATAAATAAAATAACAAAAACAAAATTTCATTTCAGCTCAAAGTCACAGGAACATGCTGGTCGTGTAGGATTGAAGAAGATTACCTCATCAGGTAAAGCATTTCATGAAACTACTCAAAAGAGGGCCTCTATAACAAATGGCAAGTTATTGACCTTAGGTGGTGCAATATGATGTAAGGTTGCTACCAACTTTTGTCGATGTTATCAACATAACTTTATCAGGCTATGTGAGCTAACACCCATTGTTTTAGGAATTGTGGGGCAGGCATAGAGCTGGCACAAGATGGCGTTCCACATTCAATTTTTTTCAGAAAATGATGGAATATGGTACTATTTTTTTAGTTTGGGTGAATTAAGTAAATAAATAAATCATTTCTGTCATTTTATACATGTGAGGGGTGGGTATCAGAAGAACCACCCACACGATTCTTTTGGCAATAGATTGAAAGGTACAATCACCCATAAAATCAATTTAAAACCTCTAAAAATGAAAATATAAGTTCTTTGAATTACTCATTTAACAAAACCATGTTATCAAATTTTTCAATAACATTTTTTAAATGACATTTTTAAACTATGCATAAATTTCTAGATTTGCTGCTGGGTTATGCAACGACATAGACACATTAAATTGAAAAGAAAAATTTTTTCTCGTTATCATTTTCAGCAGAACACATTGAAATGAACAAAACTATAGTATATTTAAAAGTATGGCCGGACCACACTTTTCAAAGAAAAATAAAAAGAAAAATAAAAAATAAATAAATATAGGCTTAATTCTGAAGGTCTTTGTAGCAGATCTTCAACTTAAGTATATTTTTATTCTAGTATAATCTAGAATTTTTCAAGCTTATCTCTATCACACCCAGATCCAAGAGGGCTTTGGTGATACATAACAGCATAATGTGTCTCTGGCATCAACTGTAGGACATATATTATATTAATCCAGTGGGAAGAGAGGTGGGGGAGGCTGGGTACCCAGACGGGCAGGACCTCTACATTTGTCAATTTATGTTAAACGGATGAAATATAAACATTTTAAGTCTGAATGAGTGCAATGTCATTTTTTTTTTTTTTCATTTTATTGAATTTCTTTAGACACAAGCACCAAGGATATGCAAATAAGTGAACTTAAGCACTGTCCTACATGGCATATCCATTTTCAACAGGGGACTTAATGGACCAATACACCGGGGTAACCCCCTCTACTCTTCTCGAAGAATGTACTGGGTTCTTTAAAGTGCACATGAGCCAAGTGCGTACACTGGGCATACGGTTTAAAGTCCTTATCCGAGAAGACTTGTTAGCTGAAGGTTACGGTGTCCCAGACTTAACCGCTCGGCTGGTCAACTCGCCAAAGGCATCCAAAGGGCATCTAGAGGTGTCATAATCATAATTTGTTTTGCAACTCCCACTATAGAATCAATATAAGTCCTTGATGAGACCCTGTCTGGAGAAGTCAATAATTTTGTCGAGGAATACTGCTTTGAAAAATCTTAATTACCATCTGTGAGTGCCATTTTTAAGCAGAGGTCGATTCTTAAAAATGCGAGCGATCCGATGTTCGCGCATACATTGTCACTGTCGTCGCGCTCGGTTCTCAAAATTATGCCTTCTATTTTACCAATTTTACATGTGCATCTATGGCCCAATTTTAGTAAATATACATGTCTGTTTTAGATTTTGTGTTGTAAATGTTACTTTTAGGTGTGGTATTTCTCGAAATTGTACTTGAGTGAAAGAAAGACCTTTGAACAAAATTTAAAAAAAAAAGAAAAAAATGCTGACCCGATTTATTGGAAAATTTTGGTCGGTTGCAGAGGGCAACACAAATTTTTTTTTTTTTTTTTTTTTTGGGCTAATCATAGAGTATAGTGTACGGTTCAATATATTGAATTTCATAATTTATAATTTACGTTTGTATAAAATTACACAAAGAAATATGTAAAATTTAAAAAAGCCTATAAATAAAATTAATTTAATAAGATGGAACTAAAAAAAATATATTTTATTGTTGTAAAGATAGGAGAGCTCATTTTCGGGAATCTACAACAGAAAGAAAATTTTCTGAGGAAGGACGTCTTGACCCTGAACGCACCCAACCCCCAAATGGCCAGACCACTTTCAATATGCTTCCAATGGCTATGAATGCACACTGAAGTTTTGATTAAGTAAAATTATCACGATCTGAAGTGATCATGCAACCCACCTAAATTTTTCCGCAACCCAAACTTTGGGGAACGGTGCTTTAGATTGTGATCGGATTGCGACTGATTGACACAAATCTACTCTGCAAGCCAAGTTATGATCCTTGCCACATTCAGGATGTGCTAAACACTTAGGCCTGTATTAATGTATATTGTAGTCTACCAGAGAGGAAGTGCAATATTGTTAAATGTACCAGGAATTGATGTATATTGTAGTCTACCAGAGAGGAAGTGCAATATTGTTAAATGCACCAGGAATTGATGTAAGATGTAAATTACGACTGTATGTTAAATCTAGTCTAAGTTCACTTCCTTATTTCTTAGGATCGATGGATGACTACGCAGAGATTGTTGATAATGATGAAGATTATGCGTTGCCGACTACAAAAGACTATGAACTGTTAAGAGGAGATATTACCATCGATGCTGTCATAGGAGAAGGCCAGTTTGGAGATGTCAACAAAGGAATTTACCACGATAAAGTACACACTCATTTATTTTTAGCTTAAGATGTTATTCGCAATATTTTTATAAAAAATTTTACCAATTCCGATTTTCTAATGTAATTTTATTTATTAGTTACTAGTTTTGCATTTGTTTGTTATTTATTTTTCTGGATTTTTATCTGTATTTTTTTGAATCTGCAATATTTGGCTGAAGATGTAATTTTTCGCCATATATTTGTAAATTTCTTATTCCATTTCCTACTGTAATGTTATTAATCAATTTATCTTTAAATTATTTGTATTTTTATATATATTTATATGTATTGTATGACATCCTGTGATTGGCTTCCGCTGTTGGATGATTTTCGAAATAAAATAAAATAAAATAAAATTTTTAATAGAAAAGAGCTGAAAAAGAATTTTGTGTTGCTTAAAGCCAGTCTCCAGAGGAAAATCTTTTGAGGTTTTACAACTGTTTTTGCTAAGACACAAAAAGCATATTTTAATGAAAAACTCGGGAGCAGTTAATAAGATACAGATTTTTTAATATTTAAAAACAGATAATTTAAGTGATTGCTCACAAAAAAGTTCCCATAAAATTAAGATATTCTTCTTTCTAAAGATATTTATTTGTCATATTTTTAAAACTGTTGAATCTGAATTAATATATTCAGGAAATTTTACAATTTTATTTGCTCAGATAAAAGAGAAGGCTTTCGTTTTGTAATGTCATTGCAGTACATGCATTGATTGGTTGGAGAGCCCAAAGCTAGTTGGTCGAGTTTAACTCCTGCATTAACAATGGCTAGTTTTATAAAATTTCAAATCTTTATACCTAATAAATATATCAATAAATAGAATTTTAATAATTGTTTACGAAATTTGGATATGCATATATATCATACTTTTACATTAATGAAATTTGTTATTAGAATAATGAAGAGATTCCAGTTGCAGTGAAGACATGTAAGTCAGAGAGTTTGGGTGACAAGTTCCTAGAAGAAGCTTGTAAGTATATGTCTTTGTATCTGTACCTTCATGGAGAATAGATGTTACAGCAATCTGTTGAACTAAAATAAAATTTATTATAAGTCAGTCGTGACGTCATCACTGCAACTCCCAGTGTTATTTGCCTATCTCATATAGTGCACGCTTGGCTTGGTCTTTTAGGTTCGTGTACAAAAGACCAATTCAACTTGTGCACATCGCACACCACAATGAATTCTATAGGCTAGTTTTTTTACACTAGGACGCATGCCTGGGAAGGGCAGCATATTAGCGTAGGCATAGCTAAATGTAATACACAGCAGTATGCTCATATCACTATAGCAACCGATGATTGCTACACAGGCTGCTACAACAGCTGGAAAAAAAAAACTGACTGAGCATGTGTCACAACTCAAGGAATGGTACGATGACAAGTGCAGAAAAAAAAAATGCAATCCACCGCGCAATTGATCATGCAGCCCCCTGTCTTCAGGTTTACTCATTTCACTTTGCCATACATATTTTGTATTTTGTCCATGTACAATGCATTCATCTTTTTGAATAAATCGATACACGACAACAACAACAACAACAGTTGATTATCAACACTAACATTAGAAGATGGCGATTGACTTACAAAACAATTAATATAGCTGCGTACATCCTACACTAGGCTGAAAATTTATTATACTTAGAATAAATGCATTCAAAAATGTTTTCAAGCATTAAATCTAACCTTTGTATAATAATTTTCCACTAGTGTGCTGTGCGCAGCTCTACTAATTGCTTAATAGTGAATGGTTTATATCTATGTTTATTTATGTTTGTTTATGTTTTGTTTATCTATGTTTATTTATGTTATGTTTTTATCATTCTTCATATTGCAGACACTCTTTCTTTAAACATTTAGAACTGTTTTTATAGACTACATTTATTGATTCCAATATTTTTTAATTGTTGTAAATTTCCACATGTCTAAATATTACATATTCAATGAAATAATTGCCGGAAATGTAGAACAGGAATTTGTAACTTTGTAATGTTTTCCCTTCCCAATACTCAGTGCAAAAAACTCTTTTAAAGATTTTGAAGTTGAAATGTATAGTTGTTTCTCAGTTTGTTACTGTACTTGTTTTTTATTTTCATATTAAATGAAAATTTGCTTTTGTAGATATAATGAAGCAATTTGATCACCCACATATAGTAAAGTTGATTGGTATTTGCACTGACTTTCAACCTAATATGATTGTAATGGAGCTTGCCCCTCTTGGACAGGTCAGTATACAAGTTCTCATTCTTACCATTATGCTGTGTGTATTTGGTACATTGTTAATTTTAATCTATGGGCTACAGATGTATTGGAAATATGTTACTAATTAATTTAAATAAATTAAAGATGTTGGAAAAAGCCAAATACAGTACCATAAAATCATTTTTAGATCAACTTCCTCAGTTTTTTTAGCAACATAAACACTGTTAACCTGAACATAGAAATTAGTGTATTTAAAAAATATTACCCTAAATCATGTTCAGTGGGCATAAACTTCAGGTCAAGGTTGAATGTCATGTATCTTAACCTGTGCACGCATCAGATTTTTGAAATGCTTAAAATCAATTTTTTACTAAATTGGAGCAGGTTCCACTCCATTCTGAGCATTTTTTAATTTTCTGCTCCGTGCGCATTATCAGGCACAGCTTGTACAGAAGCAAAAAATTACATTTTTTTTTACATATATTGGGTTTCTGACAGTGTATTCATAAATTTCCATTCTTTTTCAGTCATTGTAGGGCAATAACAATGATGTACGCGTGCATTAATCATATGAATTTGTGTGCGCATCTTTGTCAACATACAGTGAAAATATACAAAAATCATGCCTATCTATAATCAAAAATAAAACTCAGGATATTCAGTACTTTTATGACTAGTTTATTTATGACAGTACACAAACTTTCGTGCACACGGTGCACTTCTTAGGTGAATTCACCTGAAGAAGAGCACTATCTATAATCAAAAATAAAACTCAGGATATTCAGTACTTTTATGACAGTACACAAGCTTTCGTGCACACAGTGCACTTCTTCAGGTGAATTCACCTGAAGAAGTGCACTGTGTGCACGAAAGCTTGTGTACTGTCATAAATAAACTAGTCATAAAAGTACTGAATATCCTGAGTTTTATTTTCTATTATATATTAGACTAGTACGGCTTATCTATTTTTTATTTATCTATAATCAGTTATAGCTCCTTGATGCATGGTGACCCCTAATTTTTATTTATATATTCTGAACGCATGTTGTAGATTGTAGAGTTGTAGATATGATTTTATAGATCATTATGGCTGATCAGACATTGTGATGTCATAATATTACCATCTGATTTTTTTAAAACTTAATTTTTATCTATGATGTCATAATTTTTATACTCATTTGATCATATCTCGCTTATCCTTGCTTAATCGTTTCCCACCCATAGGCGTAGATCCCGGGGGGGATGGGGGATATATACCCCAATATTTGACAAGGGGGGGGATGGTCCATTGTATCATCCCCCCAATATTTTGACTATGTATGGGATAAAATGGAGCTTTACACACTTAGAAAGACTGTCACAGAAATAATTTGCACTGTCTTATGCGCCTACAAAGATGAAAATTAGCATAATGTATAATGTTGATAACAAAATTATTTTATCTGTTACCAATCTAAGCTCTTCTTTCCTTAGATGTTAGATGTGCTTGCAAATCTGAGCCACATTTCACACTGAAGGGTGTGTACGACATCAGTAACGTTATGTCAATTCCAAGAATGTTTAAGGTTATATTGGTTGATGAGGAATTTATTGATTAGGCCTATAATAGCAAATTGCATCAATTTATTTTGCAAAAACAAGGTTTCCAGTTTAGAGGGGGGGGGGGCACATCCCCTGTCCGCACAAGGGCACACATTGGCGCTAACAACAGGTGCGTAACCGGGGTCTTGGGTCAGAGTGGGTATTTATTTTTTATTTCAACCATCTTTAAAGAGGGTAACCCTTCTAGTTTAGCCCAATAGGTTAACTGATATTCAGGGGCCCTCTTTAATAGAATTAAAGAACAGTACAAACAAC